GATCGAGCGAGCGAGCGAATGCCATTCTCCACATCGTATCTACAACTCGCACTTGCGCATGCGCGCAATTCACGAGTTAAAAATGAAGTATATTTTGAATTAAGCGTATTACAATAAACGAATGTAAAGAAGTCTTTCAACAAGCTCGTGGTTTTAAAAAAGTAGGGAACCAATAAACTTCGAGAGTTTCTTTTCCATAGGGAAACATTGAATACCTTGTTAGCGGAAAGAAAAAAGAGAAAATTTAATGGAGTTATGCGATGCCTTCATTTTCTTGGGACATCGATCGCGAGAGATCCGAGAATCACCTTTCAATACATGCTAGCTCTAGATATGAGCACCACCGTCAGAGTCATAAGAAACGAGACTGGTGTTTTTTTTCTTTCCCTATTTCAATAAAAATGAAACGCTTCTTTCCCCTCGGTCTTTCGATTTGTTCTCTAAATGTGCATGTGACGATGAAATAGAACCTTTGTTCAAACTCGGAATTCAAAATGCTCAGTCAGTGTTTCTGATTTGATTATGCCCCAGCTCAATTAAAGCATACAAGGTAAGATCGGACACCTGGGATATAAACATCTTGACTCACAAAAACCCCTTAATTGAAGATATGTTGCATTTGGTGTTTGGTAGATAAGGTTCCTAGGCTAAATAACGAACAACTACACTTTTTTCACGACTATCCTAAAATTGAGTTCTCCTCAAGACTTCAAATTTTATAAAAAGAAATTGGTATTAGCTCCTATCACTTGCATCAAAAAACGTCTGGAAGTACGAAAAGCTTAGTTCTCAATAAATCTCAACCGATGTTGGGTTAATTTCAGGTTATGATGATCCAAACAGTTAAAGTTTAAAGCACAAAAACCGAAAGTTTCAAATGAGTCTAAATCATTCGTATCCCTATCATTTTTTTCAAATGACACCCCATGATTGAGTCTTGGGTTTTATGTCAAGGATATCGCGCCAATAATTCGTCACGAACACTTGGTCCAGAATCAAGCTCTTCTCGCCTACAGATTTAACAAACCATCCATCATTTACGATGAGTGTGATGCTTTCAAACTCAACACCTGGCTGCGGAAGGTGCTCGCCCCAGTGCAGGCGGGTTTCAGGAATTTTCAGCAGAATATTCCACAATTACGAGAAGAATGTCTTGGGATACGCCTTGTTGTACGTCCACCAGTAGGGATCGTCTCGCACCATGTCTTGTTGGTATGACATGCTCAGCCAGAATGGAGAGCTCTTAGCGCCGTAAATCTCAATGGCAAAGTTGTTAGCCGCTTTTTGATTCTTCGAGAACAGCTTTTGTTTGGAGCTTCCACACCATGTTTGACATTGGTCAATTGGAACCCAGATCTCTGTAAATTCCACCCTGATGATAGAGTCCACCTGGACCTCGTTGTCCATGGACAGATCATGAAACCAATGAATAAAGGAGGTAAGTTCTAAAGAAATTGTAGTGCTGTGTCGGTTGAAGAGTATCACTATTAATAGGTAATAAACAATATGGACAATGGGCTGAGATGCAAGGGTCTGATTGAAGTTGGACGTCCTCAATTTTACACAAATCCTATACACTTTTTTTATTATGAGCAGAAATTCATGACGTCAAACTCTTGATGCGCAGATGGAGTTAAAATTAAGGTGAAGCAGGTAACACACCAGGGGAATATGGTCGCCAACGGAAAATTCCGATATCTGACATGCCAAATACCGGCGATTTTTTTTCGCCATTCGTAGCGATTGGCGAAAATCACGATCGCTGCACTATTTTTCCATCAAACAAAAAAAAATCATCCTAAAACCTTCAGTGAAGCTATGTGACAATAATAACTAATGAAAGCGTTTTCAAAGTATTATGCTGTACAGAACGTCGGAAAAGCGTGTAGCTGTAGAATGATCAAGAGCAGATATCTACGCCTTTGTCACGCGCTCCTTTACAACTCCTTGATCCACCGACTTGCAAAGACTTGATCTAGGGGTTTTTCCTAGCCTGTGCGCTTAAAATCCATGATTTCTTCCCTATAATGTAAATTTCCTTTTTTAATTACAGTTATAAATGAATTTCTGTGTATGACATGGAAATATTGTATGTTGAGCTCGACTCTGATGTCTCAGTGTTTAGACTCCAGAAATAAGCTTAACATTTGCAAACATTTGTCAACCTTTGCAAACACTAGATTTAAACTCATCCGGCAAAAGTGACTTAAATTCAATACACGTCATGGAAATTTGAGCGAAATGTAAATTCCTATCCGAGACAAAAACGTAAAAGCTACCCTTTTCTTTTCCTCTCAATTAATCTACACTATTTTTACAAGTAATGGATTTACGAGCTCCCTTTTTTGACGAAAACGGAAATTAGCGAAATGACAAAACAAAAGTCAACAAACTTCTTTAGTCAAATGTAAATATTATAGGCGTTTGTAAATACAGAAACATCTTCTGTATTCAAACCAACCAGCTTATTTTGTGGCCACTTCTCTGTGACTTTCAGAGTAAAATGTTATGATTAGAATTATACTTGGCTCAATTTCAAAGTTTTACTTGTAATTCATTTGCCTCAATTTTTGAAAATTTTTTTTCATCTACCTTACTAATTACTGTTCTTTCTATTTCCGCAGCATAAGATCCTTTTTTAGGTAAAAGGAAACTTTTATGTCAAAATTTAAATGTATTAATCAACCTTCAGGAAGTTCAGTTAAAATCTACCTGTCAGTATTACTTAGCCATCGACCTTTCATTTGCTACAGTTCTTTGTAAACATGACAACTATCATTTACCGGAGAAAATATTCTAAGATTACTTCGAGAGTATTAAGGTGGTTTTATTTATTTTTGTTCTCATCAGCACTTCGGAATCC